GCAGGTCTCTCTCTATTCTCTATTTCTGCTATCCATTGATGGCAATCAGCGAGGCTGTACTGAAGACCAGTGTTGTCATCTATTCTCCTCCAGTTGATCAGCTACCTGATGGTGGTAGCCAGGCCTCACTGTTTCATGTTTCCATGTCTATGCTTCATACTTACCTTTTCCTCTTTGTTTCTTTGTGCCTCCAGTAACCTTGTCAAGTCACTGCTCAACTCACCTGCAGCTCAGTAATCTGGACGCCGGCCTCCACAGCAAGATTCACCTTATTCACTTTGTGTCTCAATTGTGGAAACCTAAACAACCCACTGTTCTCACTTGCCTGTCCTCTTACCCACCATCTTCTCAGGATCATTCACTCATTCATTCACTCACCAAAAGTTGATCATATAAAACCCAGATTTATTTTCATTTTTTATAAAATGTAAAATGATGAAATGAAGGACGAAATGTAGATTAATGTGACAGACTGTGTTGCAATGCAGTCAGTGAAAAGGTTCCAGAGCAACCAAAGATAGCGTGATTGACTAAGCTGCATCTTTGCTCCAATTAAGGATGTGGTAAAAGAAGTCAAGATAAGTGTTGACATGTTTAGCATGTAGTGATAAGACTGCCCACTGTTGTTATTATCTTCCTTTAACATTAACTAGTAATGACTTTCTGAACCTCCTCACAAATAAAATTTTAATCATTGGAGAAAGAATTACTCATAACCATCTCACAGACAAAACATTATGCACAGCTACTTTCAGTACCATTGATATTCATTTAGAGTATTTTTCTCCAATTGATCTTTCTGAGTTAACTTTAGTAATTACTTTCTCCAAACCATCAGCATGCCTTTTAGACCCCATTCCTACAAGGCTGCTCAAAGAAGTCCTACCATTAATTAATGCTTCAGTCTTTTTTAATTTAAAAAAAATGTTACGGATAAGTCTAAAAATTAAAAAACAAAAACAAAACAAACAAACAAAAAACCCCACAATGGTGGTCTAGTACTACCAAGTATTCTTACTCTGGATGGCATTACCTTGGCCTCCAGTAACACTGTGAGGAACCTTGGAGTCAT